CTCAGCCACATGCAAGCCAAACCACAAAGGTAAGTACTCTCACCATCCCCAAGTTGGTTTGACAGACATTAGTTCATTGTCTTTCAATTATTTAACCTTTTACACCCTGCTTACATAGGGCATTGGGATTGACCATTCGTCTTAGAAACAATGTCAACCCTCTGCCTTCGTTATACACGAACAAGTTGCACAACTATTTTTCTTTTCATTAGGCATATGACTAAGTCATTCATCTTAGAAACCATGCTTAGTTGCCCTAAACTATTTAAATAGCCAAATTATATATACTTCTCTGAACTTAATCTTCAAGAATGAGCGTAGGACTTAGCCATTCATCTTAGAAACAATGCTCAGTCAGCCCAAGTTACCTTCGATTATAACTCTTGATTATACTCTCTTCGCTCGTGATAAGGCTCTCGTCAGATCATTCATCTTAGAAACAATGTCTGACTAGCCTTGTTCGTATATAAGTACATATATATACAACATTATAGAGAATCCTATTCCCTTGTTCTCATTATGGTCCTGAGGCCTCAGACTCAGACCATTCATCTTAGAAACAATGTCTAGTCCTCTGGCCTGAGCCTCCATCAGAATAAAACAATCAAAAAGAGTTGAGCCATTCATCTTAGAAACAATGCTCAACCCCTTTTTCTCAGCACATAAAAAAAGCAGAGTACCTTGGGTCAAGACCCAGAGACCGTTCAGAAACCACCCAAAATAAACAGCGACCTGACCATTCATCTTAGAAACAATGTCTGACCCTTAAAGTCAAGCAAACAATACTCCTCAGAAATAAGTAGCCAGACCATTCATCTTAGAAACAATGCCTGACACAATTAAAGAAACACAACAACCAAACCATTTGTCTTGGAAACAATGCTTGGTTCTTCAGAAAACAGAACAAAACACAGCAGTCAGGCTATTCATCTTAGAAACAACGCCTGACCCTATAAGACTCACTCAGACACAAGCAAGACTGCCTTCCTCCCAACCTTCCCCAAGATGCAACCCCATGTGACAATCTGCTTTCTGACAGGCAACAAAACTGAAACTGAGATTTGCGAGCATTCCTTTATTTTGTCTGGCTTGTGTCCTGAAAGTCAAACCCAAAGTCAAATACAGGATGCATGCAATACACTCAGTTAGATACATAGCAAGATGTATAGGTAGGGGTTATAACTGGGTTTATAAGGGGAAAGCAATGGTTACCTCCCAGTTCCCTGCCTCCAGAACTCCTCCTGAGTTCCGTCAGAGCTCCCGCAATCGGTGGGCTGACTCCCCACAGAGTCTTGTTGCGGTCCTACGGGTTGCAATCCCGGCTGCCGCCTTCCTCTCAGAACCAATAGACCAGACTTAGAGTAAGGAGGTTAGATAGAGAGGGGTTTAAGACTCTCAGATCCAAGAGAGGTGCACTCAGACTCGCGTGAGAGGGCCTTGATACCTTGGTTCTCTTGAGGGCTCCGCAATGGTGGCCAATACGTAGTAGCTCGGTCAATACTGCAGTCAAACTGCCGAAGTAGAATCCCTGACGGCTCCCCAGTTTGCAGCAGTAATCCCCCCCTTATAACCCAAACACCCCCTTTATTCCACACCTTCACTCCCTTGGTCCAACTGCAGTCACATGGCGCTGAACAACCTTTCGAAAGGCCGCGCAATGGCCTCTAGTAGTCTCAGTCACCGCTGCTGTAGCACTGCGGTCGAAGCAAGACTGTGAAGCCCACAACAAAAGGCATGGTCGCGCCCTCTCACGTGCACAAGAAACAGGTCGTAGCGCCTTGTCAACCCGTAGAAGACGACGTTCGCATGGTAATATGGGCCAGCTCAGGCACGTATACCACCCCTCTGCAGATACGTAGTGATGCCCAATGTATTGGAGAATAGGACATAATCTAAGAAGAACTACCAAACCCCACAACTTGCCCAAAGTGCACAGTCGGCGGGGCAAAACTCAGGTAATATACTAAGTTGTTTGAACAGTATTTGCCCAGAAACGATGCTGTGCGCGTACTAGCAACAGGCTTGACTATCCAACGTACGGCTCACTACTGCAACACCAAGAGGTGGGGGTAGTGAGCAGGTTCGTATCCCAACAGTTGTCTGGGTTTTCTCCTCTCGGGCGACTGTATCTACCTACTTTAAGTGTCCGGGCGCAAGACCACCAACACCCTTCTTTTCTTTCCTCACTTCCCCCCGTGCCTCTTCCTAGTCTTTTCGATACAGCTGGCCAACGGCCCCGGTAAGGCAAGAATTCACCGGAGCTTTGTGGCCAACAGATAAGTCTCCAATCCCTTTGATTGGTCTCACACCACCTTCATCCATTACGATGAGTAAAAGAAAATTGAACGAACCTTCGGCTACACCGCGGGCAGGTACGTTCTTAACCTTCAGACCATCTTTCCCGTCTCTGATCCCTGCCACACACAGCGCAGTCCCTAGCTCTTTCCGTGTTTCCCAACAACTCGGCCTATACTTGTGCCGAGTGTCTCAGATGTGAGAACGAACCTCCCCTGAGAAGGCGACCAGGTACGCATCCTTTTCCCCTTTGCCTTCCCTTTGTTCTCACTGTGTTCAAACTCCTCTCTTCATCTTACCTTCTCGCTTCTTCGACCCTCTCTCTCTGTCTCACTCTCTCTCTCTCCCTGTTTCCTCATCTCGACAGTGCCCGCCTTCGCAATCACGGCTACGCCTCGGCCAGGTAAGCATGCATTACCGTGTAGGAAGCTGAAGGGGGCTCCTTTCACCGGTCGTGTGGGCCATGCACTAGCCTACAAGGTAAGTCTCCACCCTCACGGCTGATTTTGCATCACCACCTGCTATCCAACTGGACTGCAGCTGAAACGAACGGACACAGGAACCAGTGTCCTCGATTTTCTGGAAACCAGGCTACTGGTTATCAACGAATCTACGGTCGTTATGTCACACAAATTCAGGAATGCAGACTCAATCTGGGACAGCGGACCACTTAGATTCCGCACGTACAAGGAGTTTGCTTCGTTTAGGCCACGCATGGCAAAGTTTGCCCCAGTTGCAAATGCCATCCTGAGGATAGCGAATAACTCCAACGACCTCGGGATCACCTTTCGTAATGTTCTCAACCTTGCTGAAGAGCTCTGGAAGCTGAACTATCCGAACAACGTGATCCTAGCCGGAATAGATTGGATGTTCCGTCGTGTGAAAATCGAGTTCTGGAGAATCCTGGGTCGAGTAATTGCAGCGTGGCTCCATTAGAAAGATGGCGCGCTGAGTTGAATGGGTTGAACAATGACACCTGCTTCGTGCCAGATACGGGCTTCGTACCAGATACGGGCTCTACCACTGACAAGAGCAGAAATTGCACGTGAGTACGATTCTGCTCCCCTGCAAGGAGTGTACATGCTCCTAGCCTTTGGGTTGGGATGGGTTCAGGCATCTATAACGCTAGAACGACAACTCATGATGAAGGTGTTTTGTCGTGACACAGTGGGTAAGAGCAGATTTTTCAAATCGGTGAGCGTTGCCTCGCTGGAATACCGCACACAGGGGTCGAAGAACGTGTTTTCGACTACGACATCCTGTCACGGGATTAAGAAGGCTGGGTATGCACCTGGTAACGAGGCCTTGTAAAGGAAATTTTGCGGTACGATGGGCCATGGGATACCTTGCGATGGGTGGACTACCGAGGATGGTTGGATAGCGACCTCGCTGTGACGACGTTTTGTTTCGTTTTGCCGTATGCTTTAAAGTGTATCTGGCAGCGTTTGCAGTGATTGTGCTGCTGAACCTGGTCCTAATAGAAGGTAGAGTCATCGGTTGCTATGGGACGCAAATTCTTAAAAGTAGTAGATCGCGAAATCGAATTTAGTGCGCCGTGCAAAGATC